TCCTTACTGTGAATGTCACAGAGACAAATCAGTGGAAGGCTCTGCCCTTTTAGAAATCATATTACTGAGAACGTTGATCGCTTTATTTAAATGAGGGAACAAAAACAGATGTATAACGTCAAACTCGTCTGCGTCTGCAGTAGTTCTACCCACATAGCCCATTGCTTGTGTCTTGTTTCAGCTCCAATGGGAGCTTCTTCTCCAAAATTCCTCAATCTAGAGCAAACAAATGAGCAATCAGCAAAAACCCAAACGCAGAATGTGGCAAAACAAAATGAGCCTATTATCGCAATGCATACATGAAACCAACTGCGTGCTGATCAACACAGACCACATTCCAATCCACAGAGATCCACTTCTGGATCCGCATGTCCATGTGCATGCCAGGATAAATACCTGTTTTCACTTCTTGTGCCAGAGGGGAAAAAATATGCATCTGGGTTGATTTGTAATGTCTGGCAAGTAGTGAACAATGTTCCACCTCTATGGAAAAATTGGGAGCCACTGTCTTTTCCTGACTTGTGCCCTTTGAGTGCTCTAGGGATCTAAACCAAACCTGCTCTCAAAGTTTTGCAAAAATATTTTCATTTCAGGCTGCAATTTTGTTATGTTTATTAAAGAAATTATCTTACCATTTGGCCTACACCCTCATTCCACAGTCTAACTTCATTAGAGTCAAACTTTATTAAAGATTATTTATCCTCAGCATGTTGACCATATTAAAAAATAAAAAAAAAATGTATTTCAAGATGTTTAACCCTATAAGCACAGCACTACTAGTAGAACTCAAACTTAATAAATAATAATTAATATTAAATGAGTAGCTAACCCAAAAATTAAAGTTCTGTCAACATTTACTTTAAATTGTATGGAAAAGACCCGTTCCCATTCCCGTTCGTGACGGTGAGTGAATAATACATTTTAATTTTTAATTTTAACTCTTCCTATATTGTTTTTAACATCTGTTTATCAACTATTCCTTTATATTAAAAAATAAATTCCAGTTCAAATGAATATGTCTTTATTTAAGACCTGCACTCCTTGATTTCCAACATCAATGCGTCTTGCAGATCTTGATTGACTCTTTGGTGCTCCTTTTCAAAACATATTCTGCTCTCAATTTGCAGGTTCACATGGGAGTTTGACATGGGAAGAGAGGAAGCAGCATGTGTGGGTTTTTTAAATAAATAAATAAAACTTTGGTCGCTGTCAGGGCTTTCAGACTTAGTCTTGGAGAGTGAAATCAAACAGAATACAAATGGCTACATTCACAAGATTATTGAGTGAATTGGAGAATAGATAGTGCTATGTGAATGGAAAATATCTGCTGTTATATGTATATATATATATATATATATATATATATATATATATATATTACTATTTTATTTTTTTGCTGTGTAAACCTTTTTTTATGTTAGTGTCATCTTTATTAAAGAAAAGCACCAACCACAGAAGATTAAAAATAATAGATAACACCCAAATCACTTCATACACTCAGTCTTACAAATGTGCATTAATTCAATGGCATATAGAGAAGAATGGGGCTAGTTGTCACACTCCTGTGATTTTTTTTTTTGTAAACACATACCTTAAAGTATTAGCTACAAACATTCTATTTTTCCAACAAAAAATATATAGGTCATGGAAGAGATATTGATCTTTTTGACAGCAACATTTTTTGTGCCTCATTACTAAATTATATATATATATATATATATATATATATATATATATATATATATATATATATATATACTGTATATATATATATTATTACTAAATTATATATATATATATATATATATATATATATATATATTAAACAGCCTTTTATGGGCTTTTCAGTTAAATTTGCTTAGTAAAATGATTATGAGGCGTAACCCATAACATGTCCAAAATGTAAAAGGTAACACAAGGATATTTTTCATTTAAAGCAGGCAACAACTGTTCTGAAAACTGATCAGGCCAAATATGTAGGCCTACATATTTTACTACATTATGCATTAATATAATATTATACCATATCACACATTATAGTCTTCATTGCTTAAATTGCTGTGTGATGTTGGTGTTAACGCATCAACTTTAGCCAATTTATTTTGTAAACTGAAGTTAATTAAATCGCATTGCTTCAGTGCATAATAAAGTCCAAACATAGCTATTGAGTTTTTGAGAATAAATCGTTGCTTTAATACACCCATGGCACTTCAACATCATGTTTTCTCTTGCCTTCTTTAATATCACCACATAAAAATTTAGCTGCAAGTCAAAATCCAAACCACAAGTGTGGAGCCACTCTAATTTGCCAGGTTGAAAAAAAAAATTTAGCAAACACAGACACCTGTCTTCAATCTACCAAAAAAAAAAAAAAAAACTGTTTTGGTGAAACATTTGATATGTTCGAGGTCAGACCTACGAGAGAAAACCCCTAATGCTGAATGCAGGTAGGCTATCTGTAACAGTTCTTATCATTATTAATAGGCTGGCTAATCATTTTTTAATTATTATTTAAAGTATAAATAACTATCACGACAAGCCAACGTCTGAAATCACTCAAGTGTTAGTTTGTAATATGACTTGCTAAGACTTTTATTTTTAATTAATTAATTAACCCATTAATAACAGGCTAATAATAACAACAACAGCAGCAGCATCTTTCTCTCAAAAACATGCACCTCAAGCGGTAGGAGTGATTCACACTGACTCACCTAAGAGCAGTGAGTTTCAAGAGGTCCTCGCTGCAGTCTGTAGCACGATGACGTAGCTGGACGGTCCAATACGTGTTGGACCCTGTAACGCGCGCATGCGCACTAGTCAAGTCAAGTCATCTTGATTTATAAATCGCTTTTAACAATTTAGATTGTTTCAAAGCAGCTTTAATTTAATGTAACAGATTGTTTTTGCTTTATAGCGGTTCATGAATAATGTTATTTTACAGCTAGTTAGTTTTGATTCTGTCGAAATGATAATTTGTTATTAAATTAGGGGATGACACCGTTCTCTCTAAACAGACTTTAAACGCGATCCTGTGATAAACGCTGATGGCACATGCACATTAAGAATTCATAGGCCTAGTTAGAGAGTTGGTGAACAATCGTGGATCTTCCAAGAATACATTTAAATAGCCTATGGTCACGAGCGAAGCTCTTATTTTCAGAGCTTTCAGAATAAAACTTTTTTTTAAAAAATAATTGCGACTTTTTCCTTACAATTGCGAGTATATGCTACTTTTCGCAGACTTTATTTCTCAGAATTGTGAGATATAAAGTCAGAATTGCGTGAAATAAAGCCTCAATCGCATGTTATAAAGACATAATTGCTTGAAATAAAGCCTCAATCGCATGTCATAAAGACAATTGCTTGAAATAAAGCCTCAATCGCATGTTATAAAGACAGAATTAGGTGAAATAAAGCCTCAATCGCATGTTATAAAGACAGAATTAGGTGATAAAGCCTCAATCGCATGTTATAAAGACATAATTGCGTGAAATAAACTAAAGCCTCAATCGCATTTTATAAAGACCGAATTAGGTGAAATAAAGCCTCAATCGCATGTTATAAAGACAGAATTTGGTGAAATAAAGCCTCAATCGCATGTTATAGCTAAAAGACATCATTGCTTGAAATAAGCCTCAATCGCATGTTATAAAGACATAATTGCGTGAAATGCCTCAATCGCATGTTATAAAGACAGAATTAGGTGAAATAAAGCCTCAATCGCATGTTATAAAAGACAGAATTTGGTGAAATAAAGCCTCAATCGCATGTTATAAAAGACATCATTGCTTGAAATAAGCCTCAATCGCATGTTATAAAGACATAATTGCGTGAAATAAGCCTCAATCGCATGTTATAAAGACAGAATTAGGTGAAATAAAGCCTCAATCGCATGTCATAAAGACAATTGCTTGAAATAAAGCCTCAATCGCATGTTATAAAGACAGAATTAGGTGAAATAAAGCCTCAATCGCATGTTATAAAGACAGAATTAGGTGATAAAGCCTCAATCGCATGTTATAAAGACATAATTGCGTGAAATAAACTAAAGCCTCAATCGCATTTTATAAAGACCGAATTAGGTGAAATAAAGCCTCAATCGCATGTTATAAAGACAGAATTTGGTGAAATAAAGCCTCAATCGCATGTTATAGCTAAAAGACATCATTGCTTGAAATAAGCCTCAATCGCATGTTATAAAGACATAATTGCGTGAAATAAGCCTCAATCGCATGTTATAAAGACAGAATTAGGTGAAATAAAGCCTCAATCGCATGTTATAAAAGACAGAATTTGGTGAAATAAAGCCTCAATCGCATGTTATAAAAGACATCATTGCTTGAAATAAGCCTCAATCGCATGTTATAAAGACATAATTGCGTGAAATAAGCCTCAATCGCATGTTATAAAGACAGAATTAGGTGAAATAAAGCCTCAATCGCATGTTATAATTAGGTGAAAGAAAGCCTCAACCGCATAAGGACAGAATTAGGTGAAATAAAGCCTCAATCGCTTGTTATAAAGACAGAATTGCGTGAAATAAAGTCGCAATGTGCTATAAAGTCAGAATTCTGACCTTTTTTTTTTCTCGCAATTCTGAATGTAGGCTATAACATAAATGAGAGTTCATTATTACAAGATTTATTTTCCCCATGCTGTTATTATTTTAGCATTTTCCTTACTTATTCATCAATAATTAGCCTACTTATAATTATTTAACAGTATTAGTATTATACTACAGTTTGAACATCATCTCAGTACAATATTGAGCTTACATATCACTTAAAACCAATGCATTCGAATTATAATCAGAGATCGGCACTGCGCATGCGTAAATGACGTCACCAAAACACACATCCATCCACTACGTATTGGACCATCCAGCTACGTCATCGTGCTACAGGCTGCAGCGAGGGGTGTCTCGTGAGTTTCATCAGGGAGGGGTTTAGGCTGAAGTCACCGGCATGTTTCCTTCAGAAACACACTACTGAAACGACTGATCCAAGCGTGCGCGTGCGTCTGATGGAGGAATAGGCTACCATCGCGAAACTATATTAATCTATCTGGAGTCTGGAGGGGGAAAAAAAACATATTATCCTCTTATTGTTAACTATTTTGTAACCTATGTGAACTTACTGCTTTACTTTTGTTCTGCTATTGAAGTGAAGATGACGCTCGTGAGGAATGGATATGACGATGCACCCTTTTTCTTCTACGTTCACCGGTTACTTTGTAATTTTTGTTAAACATCATTTTATTTTATTTTTAACAGCAATTTACTTTTTTATTATTAGTTAAAAGTAAAAATAACTTTGTATATTAAATGAAATATTTAGTTTGTTTACAAAACAGAATACAAAATTTGTCAATCCTCATGGTTTCTGACATTTTAATCCCAATGGATATTCTTTAATAACGGTAAGCATTGCATTGGTCTTCACTGAGTTGTACATAAGATGCTGTGTCATGTAGGAACTTGTTGCAATATGCAACTTATTTTTATCTTTTCTGGATTTGTAAATTATCCATAACCAACTAAATATGACTCACTGCTGCATTCTTCAAGAGAGCTGTTGATTTCCAGGACTAAAAAATAACATTGAGAGGTCAAAGGCAGGCGAATGAACCTTGAGGAATGTTAAACGATTTGAGGCTGCAGGAGCCTTTGTCAGTACATGCCTGTTTGTGTCTCTCATAAGCATTTGGTGTGGCTGGCTGAATATTTATCCCCTACTTCTTTCCTTTTTTTAATGACAATATGAAAGTATGGGATATTAAAGTTTGGTTGGGTCATATTAAAAAGCTATCCATGATTTTTAAACTTATGGTGAAAAGGAAAAAAAAATGTCAGCTGTGGTTGCCAGAAATTTACTGTGACAATGTTACAGATATTACAGAATGGCATATTGGTATGTTTTACAACTTACAATATGGACCTATCATCAAATGATATGACTTCCAGTCTACTTGAACCATTCAAAATCAGCCTTTTACCATAAAATGGTGTTTTACCCTAATATACTGAAAACCACCATAATAATAATGTATAGAAAGCCATATGCTGAATCAGAGTTCATTGTTAGTAGCCTCTATGAAACGGAAAATGAATATCACACAAAATGTGTTATAGCCCTCTGATAATAAAATTAAGAAGAAACAAAACTAGAACATAATCATGTGATGTGTCATGCAGGGACTTCTTGGTTCTTTTAGGTTTTTTACTGTATAATATATGGTAATTCATATAGTTCTGACAAACAAAATAACATACATTTGAGAGTGTTTTGCAGGAAAATTACTTAAAAGATGTTTTACAGTCTTTTACAGTTTTTCTCTGTATGAAAAATGTGTGCCTTATGTTTAATATTCACTGTATGTGATTGATCTGTAAACAGAAAAAAATGTACTTGGCGTGACAACATTTTACACAAAACTGGATAAAAAATGCATAATTGCAGTGTTTATTTCAAAAATGATTACTAAATGATGAAACTTTTTGTTTGTTTTCAACATACTTTGAACGTTTATCTGGCAATAATGCTTACTGTTGTCTTATTTGAGCAGCATAGAGTGTATGAGTATTCAGTAAGTATATTCAGGTAGAAAGAGAAAGATTTTACATTTTAAATGCATATATTTGCTAAAAGGGAACTGGCATATCCACCTTATTTTCCAACACGAAAGTAGCTAAGCTATGTGAATGTGTGAGACTTCTACTATAAATAAATAGCAGAATGACAAAGTACAGTAAACAGTTAAACAGCTTACACTACAAAGTTCAAACCAGTATGATTATGATTTCTAAATAATATGGAAATTATATTTAAATAAATAGACTGTTTTTGTACAGTTATTGGAAGCTGGCGACAACGGAAGCCTCAAATATTTAAGTTGAATGCAAATGGAAACACACTCTTAAAAATAGCAAAGGTATTCTACACTTAAAGCTAACAAAAAAAAAATATTTGCTAGTATCTCCATTAAGTTATTTAAAGCTGCAGTCCGTAAGTTTTTGGGGTTAAAAAATGATCCAAAATTAATTTTTGAGCAAGTACATAACCAGCCAGTGTTCAAAACTATCTGCTTGCCTTAGCTCGATTCAAAAGGGTAAGCTTGTAAAATGTTTTCAATTCCAGTGACTGGTGGATTTCCACATGAGATTTGAGCATGTCTTTGCGTCATTACGTCACATCTGTACACATAAAGGAGTCGTCTCGACTAGTAGGCTATTCTGCGAGTGAGGATATTGGAGGTGAAGATTTATAGCCTTTTCTCACAGCACTTGATATAATTAAACGTGTCAATTTGATGGCAGATCCAGAAAGCTTCAAACGACAATCACCAGTGACAACTGGAGAATCAACTGTTGTAAAATGCAAAAGACTTTGGACTGAGTGTTTGGAAAAAGAAACTGCAATCGGCCCATGCGAAAACTTTAAATGTAGTCACGCTATGTTGGTGTTGTTAACATTAACAATTTGACAACAAAGTACAAACTTTGAAAAAAAAAAAAAAAAGAAATCTGTGAATCTGAATGCCAGTATCCACACCGGCACAGTGATTGACAGCTGCACATTCAATTTCTCACACGTAAAGTTGATAATAATGCGAATAACTGCAATTGCGGATTTCGACCGGAGATGGTGACAAAGAGGTAAAACTGAGGACTGCAGCTTCATCAATATTTATTTATTTATGAACCGTTCCATTATTCCAATATAATTTTGCAAACAGTATGGAATCGTTACTTGTTCTCCTAACATTCTGATACAAGTACCCTATACATTTCAAAATTAAACACGAACTGTAAATAATGTTTTTTGTAATGTTTAGAGAACTTTATTAAAGACCATAACTTTGAATGAACATTCTGTTAAAGGGATAATTCACTTTGAAACTAATTTTTGATATATTTTAGCTTACCTCAAGGGCATTCAAGATTTAGGTGTCTTTGTTTCCACAGTATTTTCAATTTTGACATTTTTCAGTCAAACCGTTGTTGTCTATCAGTCATACAATGGAGGCTAAGGGGGTCCACCTCAAAAAGAATGCACAGAGAAGTCAAAATTAAACATGATTTAATGACTCGTAAATGTAAGTACACATTGATGGCCTAAGACACGAAACGAGCGGTTTGTGTGAGAAAACGAACAGAATTTATATAGTTTTTACCTCTTGTACACCGCCACGTCCAAGTGATCTGAATCAGTTGTGCAATTTCCGACTGAACCGAACTGAATCAGTTCAATGTTACGCCGGAAGTGATCGCTTGCGTGTGACGTCACTCAATATTTACACGGAGATTTCGGAAGTTTTACCTTTTACTAAACATATTTAGATATACCGAAATCGTCTTCCATTGTGGTTTTCCGTATATCTAAATATGTTTAGTGAAAGGCAAAACTTTAGAAATCTCGGTATAAACAAAGAGGGACGTCGGCGCATGCGCAGACCGAAGCGCCCGTGCCGTCAGATCATTTTGTCATGGCTATGATTACAAGAGGTAAAAACGTATAAATACTGTTCGTTTTCTCACACAAACCGCTCGTTTCGTGTCTTAGGCCATCAATGTGTACTTACATTTACGAGTCATTAAATCATGTTTAATTTTGACTTCTCTGTGCATGCTTTTTGGTGGACCCCCTTAGCCTCCAGTGTATGACTGATAGACAACAACGGTTTGACTGAAAAATGTCAATACTGTGGAAACAAAGACACCTGCATCTTGGATGTCCTTGAGGTAAGCTAAAACATATCAAAAATTAATTTCAAAGTGAATTATCCCTTTAATGTTACTGAAATAGCGTTTGTTCAAAACTTGGAGAGAACTTTGCCAGAAGGTTCTGAGAATGTTACGTTAGCTGTATACATGGCCCTAAAGTTAACACTATCTTTCAAATGATCCGTTCTAAGATATTTCTCCACTCTCCCAACAGCTCTACATGAAGATGGGAGCCCCGCAGCTAAACACTCCACTGAGTTAGCCATGCATCACACCAATTCATCAGGCGCTGCGCCACTCAATCCATTTTCCAATCACAGTCAATGGGAAGGACAGGCGACCTCTCCATCACTTTCCAATCCTGAGAACGTCACCTCGGAGAGGCCGATCCTGAGCGGCCCCATAGCTGCGATGTTGTCAATGACCCTGGGGATCCTGTCTAACATTGTAGCTTTACTCATCCTGGGAAACGCATACGCCCGTCTACGTCGACGATCCAAAGCATTTCTCCTGTTCGCCGGCTCTCTGGTGGCCACAGACTTTGTGGGACATGTCATACCTGGTTCAATAGTCATGAGGATGTATCTTTCTGGAGGTGTACCCTCTGAAGAATACAACAGGGCGGACCCATTATGCCAGTTTCTAGGGGGCAGCATGGTGTTTTTCGGGCTGTGTCCGCTCTTTCTTGGTTGTGCCATGGCAGCTGAGAGGTGTTTGGGTGTGACAAAGCCGCTGCTCCATGCTTCACTGGTTACGACTGCTAGGACTAAACTCTCTCTTTCCATCATCTGGTTAGCAGCTCTTTGCGTTGCCCTTCTGCCCTGCTTTCAGCTGGGTTCATACACCTACCAGTACCCTGGAACCTGGTGTTTCATTAAAGTGCTGGAGGATACCGAGAAGGCAGACGTAGCTTTTGTGTTGTTGTTCTCAGGACTGGGGTTGACATCCCTTGCTATTGCTTTGGTCTGTAACACCATAAGTGGACTGACTCTGGTGTTAGCGAGGATACGAAGGAAACCCTGTAACCGTCGATTAGCTAAATCCCATGATATTGAGATGGTGGTACAACTTGTGGGGATAATGTTCACATCTTGTGTCTGTTGGAGCCCCCTTCTGGTAAGTGTGAGCAATGGCACAAAGCACACACTGCTTTTCAATGCTGTCCCTTGATGTTCACTTTCCTGCTGAGTGTAAAGTACACTTTTTTCTTTTTGAATCGTCAGTGTAAAACATCCTACTCACTTTATACCAAAAAATGGCGTTGAATTGTATTAGTACGCAAACCGGGACACACCTAATATTTTAGATTGACTAGATTATAGATTACTTGGACCTTAAAGCTTTTTTTAAACACTTTTTGTTATGCTTGTTGAAACTCTCTTCACATGGGCTACTTATAGCAATCGATAATAGAAGTGATCTAAATTTCAAAACATGCAATTTCGGAGAGGCTAGCAATAGCAAGCTAGCTTTGAAAGCATGAGATCCCACCCTCCCTTCAGAGTGTCTCCAAAGCCACGCCTCCTTTAAAACACATAAACACACAGCAGAGTCTGCAAAGTGTCACAAGACGAGTTAAGGCATTGAATTATTTATTTATTTTGTGTAATCATAATCCTTATGGTGTTTTGTCTTTGACTCTTAACTCTAGATTGTTGGCCTAATTACAGTGAAACAGTCGTATGAGGGCTCTGTTGGAGATGACCTTGCCATCTATAAGACCCTGATGATAATGGGGGTGCGAATAGCTTCATGGAACCAGATACTGGACCCATGGGTTTACATTCTTCTCCGCCGTTCCATCCTCCAAAAGATTTACCTCATCACCAAACGTCAAACAGACTTTAAGGAAAGCACTTATCGCTGCTGGGAGATCCATTCCTTCCCCAGCTCAGAGAAGAATCCTGTCAGTAGAGTGTGAGTCATAGTACATCAATAAAAAAAGACGAAGCCTACTTGGTCAAATTAAATTGAGGATCTCAGTGGTTCCCTTTTATTTCAGCATGTGCACATACTAGGAATGTATTTAAGCAAATTTGCACAAAGATAAATAAAGCATGAGATGAACAGTACTTTTACTCCCTATGGAGCGCTAATAATAAGGATTTGGCTGGAAACATTCGTGCCAGTATGTCAGTTTTAGTCCTTCAGTTAGTAATTAAAGCATCAATTCAGCCAGTTTTGTAGTTTAAGTAATGGGACATTATTTTTATTTGTCACCAGTTGTTCCCCATTACGACTGTCCTGGGTATGAAACATGGCATGATAGTGAAGTGGCACTAAACAGATAAGTATTTGAAAAGAAATGTTCACCTAATGTTAACCTATCATAGATTTGATATAGCATGATCATCAATAATATATTACTGTGAGGTAAACTTATAGCCTATTTCTGAGGCTAAGTTTACCATATGTTTATCTTGCATATTTCTGTGTAAAAAATGCTCATGTGAATAATTGTTGTTTATATAGTATAATTTATTTCTTGTGTTATAACTCCATTTTTGGAGGCTTGTTGTATTTTTACATTGAAAAGCATTATACTAAAACAAAACAAATGGTTGTGTGTGAATTACTGTGTGTGTCCATTTCTGTTGCTAATATAAAACAAGTTTTTTTTTTTTTTTTTTTTTTTTTTTTATGTGTTACTTCATAACTAATTTGCAGCATGGAGCACACTGAACAAATCTGCAGGCTTATAATATTATTATAATTATAAAATAATAAAATGTAAATGTAATACGCAGTACTGTAAGTGTTTTGTCTCAAGAGACACGCCAGAATTATATTTTTTTTCTAAGGCCCATTTCTAAAAGCTACTTAAATATCCTAATTTTACTACTCCTGACTTAGTCTAAGCCCTGTCTGTGAAACCAGGCCGACTGTAGACCATTTTGCAAGATGTAAGCAACACTGGTCCAGAAGCACTTCTTGTTTCAGTTTTTTTAACACTACATAAAAGCTGGGATAAAATACAACCAACAGAACATATAAAACTGAATCAAAAAGTTGAACAAACATCTTTAAGACGTTTTCTTCACATGTGAAATAAAGAAAACAGTTACAATCTGAAACAGGATCTCTGGACCAGTGTTGTTTACATTTTGCAAAATGGTCTATACGAAAATGCCTCAAAAAGCACTGGCTAATAGTAATTATACCTCCGGGGGGGCATATTTTACATTCACACTGTTAAAAACAAAATTTGCCGTGCAGGCAGCAGACGCATAATAATTCAAATAAAATAATCTCTGAATGCAGTTCCATATACGTCCTCTAGGCGTACTGAAAATTGAGTGCGCATGCGCTGCGGGGGTCAGAGCGTGTCCCGGAAGTTGAGCATTTTCGCTTCCATTGAATAAACTGAGCGAATGGTAAGTAAAACAAATCTGTTTAGATTTGTAGAGAAACACACGGACACGCAATATTAAAGTTAACGTGATCTTACAAGACGTCTTCGAGTTTTTATTTACTCTAGCAGCTGTGCAGGTAAATATGAATGGCTATTTCACGTCGTGCGTTTAACCAAATGACTCGTTCGTGCGCGTGCTAGCGTGCTTCTCCGAAACGAATGTTTTGTTATGACGCAATTGATGATTTATGTCGAATTCATACTTTATTATTGTCCTTTGTAGTGTTAAGAATTTGTAGTTTAAATAACAAATACCCCAAGAACGGTAAACCTTTTTAGAACACCAAGAGAAGCATTTATATTCACTCGCTTATTATTAGCGCGCGCGTGTTTTTATGGGTTTGTCTTTTTTTTGTATTGTTTGTCAACATTGTGCGACTTGTGTGCAGATCATTGTTTGATGGATATGGCTCAAATGGGACATTTTACGAGGCGGAGGGAAGGACCTCTTCCACCTCACCCACCACCCTCCTGGGATGAGCACCAGGCCTATGAGGAGCTGTTATACTGGGATAATCTCATACAGGAGGGTTACCGCCTGCACCCGCACGATTACGACCGGTAAAACACCTATTCTTACAGCTAAACAGATTCGTGGAAGGCGTGGAATTTTTTAAAGTTGTTTAAATAAATAATAAAAATCCAAGTTTTGTCCATCCACAAATATCTGGAAAAATCTTTTTGAAAAAAGATCCACTGAGTGGTATCTTGCCACACTGAGCTTGATTGAATATTAATATGCAATGAAACTAAATTGAAGTTCTGTTGCAGGTATGAAGAGTTGCGTTATTGGTATGACTGCTTGTGTTATGAAGAAGACCTCAGGCAGTACAATGATTACATTGTTGAGTACAGGAAGTGGGAAGATGAGAATGTGCACTCAGGCGAGGTATTTCATGCCAATATTATAAAGTTAAAATGCAAATTCTTTGTTATAGAATATTTATTAGAACTCTTTAAAAGACTAGTACTTTTTTTCCAATATTTATTTGCAGAAATTGAGAAACATGAATAAATGAAGTGCAACTGCAACATTTTTACTCCACTGTCATTAATTCAACACTTGTGTTCCTCAGCCGCTTCCACCGATGAGGCCACCGCCTCAGCGAACTTTTGTGAACGAGGATCGCTATATAAAGGCCAAGCACACAATGGTGTACCCATCAGCTGAGCAGCTGGATGCAGTGCAGAGCATGGTGTCTCATATGGAGTGTGCCCTGAAGTCCGTCTCTGATTGGTTAAATGAAAAAGAGAGTAGTGCTGCTGATGATGAAAGGTATGGCATCTGCTCTAGTGCATTTAGACTTTAAAAAATTGCATTTCATTTTATGTTTAAAACATATAGTTCATCCAGAAATGCAAATTCTCTCATTCTCTGAGTCCATATAATGACATTCAATGTCTTTCGCTTGTTTGACACTTGAAAGAACACACAAGGCGATTGTGACAGTAATGCATACAACCTTAGTAGATGAATCAATGTCTTCTCAAGCAAAACAATAGGTGTGTGTAAGACAAATATAATTTCTTTTTTAAATTGAAGTGGTGGCCTCACATCCTACGTGCTTCTGCGCAATCTTTACGATGCACTTATGTCACCCACCCGTCACAACGTCCCTCTTGTGAACGTATGTATGACCGTAGACCGAAAGTATTGATTTGTAGTTAAAAACAGTTGTATTTTTGATACTCGCACACACCTGTTGTTACACTTCAGAAGACATTGATTCATCCATTGGAGTCGTATGGTTTACTGTTACTTACAATCACTGTGTTGTGATTGTTTTTAAAGCATCAAATGAATGGAAGTCATTCAATGGCATTATATGGATTGAGTTATCTCTTTAAGCTATTGCAAGATACTTTATATTTCCGTTTTGTTAAAAGTATAGACTCATGCTTGCCGTCCATGCTGTTTTCCCAGCAGTGATTCACCTCAAAGTAAACTGCGTGGTGTTTTGAGAGTGGGCCTGGTGGCTAAAGGACTCCTGCTGAAGGATAATTTGGAGTTAGAGTTGGTGCTGCTCTGCAGGGATATGCCCACCAGTTCTCTGCTCAGGCTGATCTCGGGAAAACTCTCGGAATTCATTAAGGTTTTTCACACCTTTTATTATTCAGTGCTATCATTATATAATCCTTTATTATCAGTACAATGAATGTCTGCCAATAGCTCTGCTTGTGTTTCAGTAGACCCATAAAGAGGAACAAATGGCATCTTTCTGCAGAATGTATTCTAATGTAGGAAAAATTTAAAAAGAGCTAACAACACTACACTTGTGTTGATATTTGAAAGCATTATAAAATTGGATAATGTTTTCAATAAACATGCAAGGGGCAATGTATTCACTACCATTCAAAATTTGTTAGTAAGATGACAGAAAATACATTAATATATATATATGTTTTCAAATAAATGCTGTTTAACTATCTATTCATCAAATAATGCTAAAAATGAACGACAAGAAAGTAATACGATTTTTTTTTCATATGACTTCTGAAGGAACTTGACACTGAAGACGGGTGACAATTCAGCTTTGCCATAAAAAAAAGCATATTAAAATATATTAAAATTGAAAAGTTAGTTTAAATTGAAAAAATATTTCACAATACTGCTTTTTTTTTAATTGTATCAAATTATTGCAGCCATACTGTGCGTTCACACCGGCGAGAGCGTCAAAGTGGCCGGAAGTCATTCATTTTCGCCGGCGACGAGCGAGGGTGGCGTGGCGCGTCTTGGACGGTGAGAGCGGTGAAGAGAGTTGAAGTCAGGTCAACTCAATGACGCGTTTCCATGGCAACCAATCAAAATGTAGATGTGCTCCGTTTGAGAGAATTCCAGAGAACGCAGTCCTGTAAATTTTGGTTCCCACCACATTAAATAGTTCCCAAGCAAAATAGAGGAGGTTGATCATTTGAATTTGATAAGAGGGCGCACAACACTATTTATAGGCAAGATTTTCATGCTAGAACACTTTTTCAGCGGGAATGCAAATTATAATAGCACTTAACCATGAACACAAAAGCCACACCACACAAATGGCTTTAGCAAACATGTCACTGTAAATGTTAAGTTCTTTCCATTGATCAATTTTCTGCAAAAATAACGGTTGACATGCTTGTTTGCTTTGCGGCCCCTTTAAATACAGTTTTAAAAAGATCACGCATTCGATCTACATCAGAGCGTCCACGAATCTTTCCACGGCGTCGCTGGCAGGCCGGTGAGAGCGAATTTTGCCGCTCTCGCCGGCGGTGGTGTGAACGTACGGTTAGTGAGCATAAGAGTCTACCAATTACAAACTTTTGAATAGTGCATGTATAGAACTGTTCAAGTGTGTGATTCCTTGCAAGGCGGTTTGTAATAAGCCAATATGTATGAAAAAGGAAATTGACATGCACTTTGTCCTCTCACTTTCTTCGAAAAGGATGTTACTGAGGAGAAATACGTCATCACTCCATCTATCCAAGAAGCTGCTATTATTGTTACTAGCACGAACGAGCCCATGCTGAAACTGAGCATCCATCTGACCTCGCCTATGGTCAGGGAGCAGGTTGAAAAAGAGGCATCTGGAGGTATGATCTCACACTTTCATTTTAGGACCCAAAAGACCTTCAGTACCATCAGAAGAGTGAAAATAAAGGGTCCTGCAGTACAGTCCTGCTGCACTTAATTGTTGGATGCTGAATTCTTTCTGAGCCAAATACTGGATGCTTTCAGCATTTTTAATTTACAAGTATTGTCTTCGTTACTGTTCAGCATTTTACTGTTGAACGTTGAAACCTCCAAACGTCGCCTCTAAAGCGCTACGAAGGGTTTGCATTGCAGCAAAAAGTAGTCAGTAGGCTCATAGTTTAAGAGGTGCTTGTTGATTGATTTTTAAATATGTATTCTACAGTGGTTGTTTTAGACGATTTCAGATAATTGCAGCCAACTTAATTTTATGCAACAACTGTTACTTGTGCTTAAGCCGGTGTAATCTGTTTGTCTAGAACAGGTTTCACGTGTATTTTGCTGCAGTATTTACCCTATTCACATCTGAATTCATTTAAATTCAAGTATTGCTTTTGTTGCCTGTGGTTGCAAATTGACTTTCTCAACCAAGCCTTCTAGTTTGTCAGTTTTAGGGGCGCTGGACTTTTGACCAACTGGAAACTCTCTGTCTCGGAAGGGGGGGCGCAGTTGGCCAACAGAAGAAGAGGGTGAAATGTCTAATGAAGTAGAGTAATGTAAAGATGGTCATTAACCATCGTTAAAACCGACAGGGGTGCATACTAGGCTTTGATTTGGTTGGATTACTTCCTGAACAGTTCCCCCTCTTCCTCTTGCCTGTGGGCACTGGGACACTGCGTCTTCCCCCTGGCCAGATGGCAGAACCCCCCCTTGGTCAAACTGTACCTTGTCTTCTTACTCCATTCGTCACTAGAACCGTGCGCGGAAAGCTCTCCGCAGGACGCTCTGGACAGGCAGAAATGCCTGGCTTCTCTGGCGTCTCTCCGCCAGGCCAAGTGGTTCCAGGTTTGCATCCCGTCTTTATTTGTCTAAAAGTCGACTTGTAACTTGATCTGACCTTTGACCTGGGGAAAATACATATTTGCACATTGAGCTTCTCTGAGAAATTCTTTTAAAGGCTGTTTGAATATTGAAACGTCCATAAATGCTTTAAAGTCATTTGCGTATAACCTGTTTCCGATTAAATGTCAGATGTATCTTACCCAGGTTGCAATTTGTTCGTTCTTGGTCAGAAACTATAATTTGGCCAGATTGATCTGCTTAATACAAAACGTCCTCTAAAAAGTGTCTAGAAGTTCTTTCTAGATCCATAATAAAGTGTAAACAGATTTGCTCTTTGTTGGGTTAACAGGCTAAAGTGTCCAGCGTTGAGTCGTGTGTCATTGTGATTCGGATCTTGCGGGACTTGTGTTCCCGTGTTTCAACGTGGGCCCCGCTCAAAGGCTGGGTGAGTCAATCTCAAACAACAAAAAAGATATCTTTGCAGTCAGACGTTGATGAGTGTTTTTATAAATGTAGATTTTTCGGAATGTGTCTCTTTATTCATATGTCTGTCTGCAGATTCTTGAGCTGCTGTGTCAGAAGTCCATTTCAACCAGCGAGAGGCCGCTGGGACCTGGAGAGGCGTTCCGGAGAGTTCTAGAGTGTCTTGCGTCGGGGATACTAATGCAGGGTAAAGACTGGAAAAAAACATCGTCCAAGCATATTTTGGTGTGTGTTGAGTCATACTGAGCACGACCCTTCTCTTCAGATGGTCCAGGCATATCTGATCCCTGTGAGCGAGACAGCACTGATGCTGGCGCTCATCTTACACTGCAAGAGCGAGAAGATATTACCCAGAGTGCCCAGGTGACTTGCAATCCTACACTATAGCTTGACTTTATTTTACAGTGTACTAGTCTATAAACTTTACAAATCGTTATTTATTTGGCCCGATGTCATTCCAAACCTATATAGTGTTTTTTTTTATTTATTGTAGAACACTAAATTCTATACAGTAATTATTCCTCATGGTGACCATGTCTGTCAAGCTCCAAAATAAAATGGTTAATAAAGCTGCTACATTTACAAGATTTCTAACATTTGAGAAAACACCTTTGACTTTTTCACATTTAACTTGTTGCGTTTCTCCCACCCCTAGTTTGCCTTAAGGCTGTCAGCTTTTGGGCAGCTTTACAAAGTTCTTGGAATGGACCGGCTCAATTCCAAAGCCTCTAGAATTCTCGGCGAACACCACAGAGGTACCAAAGCAACTTTTTCGGGTGTCCTAAAACCGTGTTATTACCATGTCTTTGAATTAAAAGGCTGTGCTTGCTTCTGTATCTGTAGCTTCAACTGTTTGGACTGGTTAAGCTATTCACATAGACGTAGTTCACATTGTAATTTTCTAAGTTTCTGAACACGGAATTATTAGACATTGAAACATGTGAACGTTAATTAGTGAGTGATCCCATTTTTTTGAATAACATGGGTCAATGTTTTGGGTGCACTAAAGAGAGAGACCTTTGCATTTTCGACGTGGTATTATGAACTCAAATGCAAATGTCTGTTATCCTATTTAATGCTTCCTTCTAAATTAAATTGCAGTCGGTGATTTCCCAGCAAAGAGACCAAGGGAAGTTTATGATGCTGGGGACCTTGACATAAAATCGAAATTTCCAAGAAAAGGTATGCGTCTCAATCTCATTTTTTTTCTTGCATCCCCTTCTGTTACCCTGCACTAATTTTATATTTAATGGTAGAAAATAAGACCTATATACCTGTGCTTGCACCTGGCAGAAAAGAGCGAACCAGCAAATGCCCTAATGAAGTTGAACCAGCTCCGGCCTGGGACCCTCTACAGATTGGCATCACAGACTGGGCCTGAACATGAACCTCAATTTACTATGGCTGTGGAGGTGGATGGGATAACTTATGAGGCTACAGGCCCTTCCAAACGCAGCGCTAAGCTTCATGTCGCCCAGAAAGTGAGTCTGCTGGTACTCACAGGACGTGTATGACCGCCAGATTTCTGTATATCAGAAGTTCAGATTGATATGTAGATAACAAGCTTTAATGATGATGATGAAGAACTGCAATGTCACACGAGTGTGACTGCGATAGGGTGGTGAAAGATCCATGCACGAAAATCATATTTTATGGTATATGGTATATCAATTAAATGGTATTTTGAGCTGAAACTTAGACGCATTCTGGGGACACCTGAGACTTCTATTAAAGGGGATCTATTATTTTTACAAGATGTAATGTAAGTGTGAAAAATGAACTGTAAATTTCAGTTGTTGTCTATGCCATGTTCACAACACACAGGTGCTGCTGGCATTAGGTGTGCCCTTGCCGTCTGAAACTAAACCTGCTGATGAAAAGAAGTCTGTTGCCACACCTGCAGCCTCTGGTTCCGATGAAACCACTCCTTCAGGGTCTGATGACGGCACTGAGGTTAGCTTCCAAAGACTGGACCTTCTTAAAGAGCTTTGGGGATTGATGTGTTTGTACACTCTGGGAGTTTGCTTTGGCATGATTGGTTCCACTTCATCTTGCAGGGTGGACCCATCCTCACCAAACATGGCAAGAATCCTGTCATGGAGCTCAACGAGAAGAGGCGAAGTCTGAAATATGAACTTGTCTCTGTCAAGGGACGCTTCAATGACAAGACCTTCACCATTGAGGTTAGACATGTTGAATAAAGCTAGTGGTGATGGGTTGCAAAGACATATTGGGTGGTACCTAGTGGGGATGCAATGGTACAGTGGATGGTTACTGCAAAAGCGCCCTGTGTTATGTTGGATGCTATATATATCACTGTTTGCACATAATACTAAGCAGCAAAACTGTTTATATAGAATTTTATTGTGCATCAAATCAGCATATTTGATTTCAGAAGGATCGTGTGACACTAAAGCCTGAAGTAATGATGCTGAAAATTCAGCTTTGTCATCGCATGAATAAATTATGTATAAAAGTGGAAAGGGGGAAAATTTTAGTTTAATCCAATACTGTAAAATCAAAATAATGAATGTTAAATTTAGTTGTATATGCCCTGCCTAACTATAATGGGGGAGATTAGAGGCTATAAGAGGCTACAAAATAAAAACAGTCCCAAGTTTTACATCTCAGATGCAGTTTATGCAACCTGAAATTACAACAACAAAGCAATGAAAAAAATACAAGAAAAGATTTCAAACAGTAAAATGACATTATAGTGCTAAATATATTGTGGATTTATATTTACTGGTTCTTCTTCCCTGCTGTTCAAATGAAAAAGTTTCAATTTTCTACAACAGAAAACAAATATATAAACGCTAAAGAAAATATCGAAACAAATATTAGCAGTAATTCATCGACACAAAACGCTCGTCATATGTCCAATAAATGTCCGTTATTAAAACGTAGCTTTTTTCCCTTTTCTCTAGGAACCCAGTCAGTCAAAGACAACTTGAGCAACTCAACAGTATATGTTATGTGAATAAATTGTTTCAATAATTTCCATGTTTCAAGCGTCTTTTTTAAAAGTCCTATATTCTTAAACATACACTGTAATTGTGTGTAGCTAGAACTTGTTTTCTTTGATATGACGTAAATACATAATGATGAATGACAGAAGCCTGAGGTTTCTTTTTATAAATCACTTATTACGGTGACTCAGTATTGCAAGAACACCTCTTCTTTGTATTAACCACATGAAGCTGGAGATGCATTGTAAGTGATTATGAGGCATGTCTTACATTTTTTTTGGTGTGCCATAGCTTTAATTTAAAATAATGTTATATAATATAATACGTTTGTTTGCATTAATTCATGGAAAACAATACACTGCAGCTACAAAGCCTAGATCCTGTGATTATATTCCTGTGATTCAACCCCCAGTTCAGACTGTAAGCAACGGTGCAATCATTTGCAATATATTCTGATTTAAATATAAAAAAAAAAATAGTTCTCCTTCCGTTGCCCTCAATCTCGTTTCTCATGATGATTTCCTTGAATAAGCATGAGGACAGTACCGCTGCTAAAATCTACTCCTTTGACATGTTTTCTTGCTGTTCTCGCTTTAAACAACTTTCAGTTATGCATATTTTATGTGCATGTGTTTTTCCCTATTTTAGGTGGAGGTTGATGGGCAGAAATTCCAGGGCTCTGGATCAAATAAGAAATTGGCCAAAGCCAACGCAGCACTTGCGGCTTTAGACCAGCTCTTTCCAGAAGGTTCTCCTGCAGACCCACTCAAGAAGAAGAGATTCCCTCCTATGGTAAAGACAACATGTTTTCATGGATCTTATTTTAGCCTTTTGTCTAATACTATTTTGTCCTTTTGTTCAAATAAATATGTATATATTTTTCCTTTAGGGCTATGGTATGGCTGGATTACCTTACAATGCAGGCAATCGAGGTAGAGGAAGAGGCCGAGGTAGAGGCAGAGGATTCAACACTGGCAATTTTGCAGGTATGCTAACATCATTTAAATGCTTCAGTCCACTTGCTTGTTAGTTTCTTTAAAAAAAAAAAAAGCGTCTACCCACCGAGGCATGATCCCTACAAGATCCCTGAAGGTATCTGGCTCCGAGATGCTCTGACCTAGCCGCCTTGCCATAACAATTAGACCCTTGTCAAAGTCTCTCATATCTTTATCCTTGCCCATTTCTCCTCCATTTAAAACGTTGATTACAAGAACTGATTGTTTTCTTACTGTCTAATCTACACAGACCTTAAAGGATTAGTTCACTTTTGAAAACTTTTGCTGATAATTTACTCACCCCCATGTAATCCAAGATGTCCATGTCTTTCTTTCCTCAGTCGAAAAGAAATTAAGGTTTTTGATGAAAACATTCCAGGATTTTTCTCAATATAATTGACTTACATGGGAACCAGACGGTCCAAGGTCCAAACAACAGTTAATAACAGTTTCAGATGCAGCTTCAAATGTCTTTAAACGACAGCAGACGATGAATATCATGCGAAACGATCGGTTATTTCAAAACTTATTCCAAAAATGTAACTTTTCTAAGGACAAATGCTAGCCTTGCTCTATTCTGTGAGGCGCGTTTGCAACGTCACGTAATACGTAATTACGTTCAAAAGGTCACGGGCGACGTAGCCGGAAGTACAGAATCAAAATCGTCCGACATCGTTGTTTTACCTTTTAATTCCTTTTTTGTAAACGGCGTTTGAGTGTTTGCACGTTCAACCTATGCTTTCAACTTGTAAACACTCTGACTCTGTACTTCCGGCTACGTCGCCCGTGACCTTTTGAACGTTATTACGTGACGTTACAAACGTGCCTCACAGAATAGAGCAAGGCTAGCATTTGTCCTTAGAAAAGTTACATTTTTGGAATAAGCTTTGAAATAACCGATCGTTTCGCATGATAAGACCCTTATTCATCGTCTGGTGTCGTTTAAAGACATTTGAAGCTGCATCTGAAACTGTTATTAACTGTCGTTTGGACCTCGGACCGTCTGCTTCCCATGTAAGTCCATTATATGGAGAAAAATCCTGGAATGTTTTCATCAAAAACCTTAATTTCTTTTCGACTGAGGAAAGAAAGACATGGACATCTTGGATAACATGGGGGTGAGTAAATTATCAGCAAAAGTTTTTTCAAAAGTGAACTAATCCTTTAATATGCGGCCTTGTTAGGAGATGATCAACGCTTTGCCTGTGACTTGTCATTATAGGCATATTGCCTGTTCCTCTAACTTGGATGTCTACTGAACAACTCTTATCCATTTGTCTACTTCTTCAGGCGCCACCGCTACTGCTGGACTGACCCCAGCTGTGTCTGTTACCAACTCCAGCACACCTATGACTCCCCAGGAGGACCCGTCTGCAACCGCTGCCATCAGCGCGGCCACCTACCAGGCTGTCCCTCCACCAATGACTGGCTATTATAATCAGTACTCTCAATCCTATTCACAATTCAAAAAACCCCTCGATCAGGGCCAGGGCCAGACCCAGAATCAAAACCAGAGCAAAACAACAAATCAACAAGCTCCTCTTGTTGGACCAGACTACGGCTATGGATATCAAGGGGCTGGCATGGGTATGGGAGGAACACCTGATTTCAATTATGCAGGTGAGTTTCAGTGCTGACATGCTGTGTAATAATTTAAGCCAGAAATATCTGAAACTCTTGATTTCTTCTTAATAGCATACAGTGGACCACCTGGTACAGCAGCGTTCGGGCCACCTGGAACAACAAATCAGAGCTATAGCTTCACCCAGAGCGCTTATCCCAACCTGGGCGGCTACAGCAGTGGAGCCAGTACCACAGACTACACATACAGATAAATGTTCCCTTTGCTCTCTCAGGTTGAGGATAAACAGATGCTTTTCCAAACAACTGAAAAGTCAGTTCTGTAATTGCAACATTGACTCTCTAAACCTTTTGAGATTTTATACTGTTTGTGTTACTTTTGCCGTTTGAACTGCACCCCGGTAACTGAATTAGCATGGTTTTGATTCACCATTAGTTTCAGGAAATAATACATCAGGGTGGTGGAAGTTCTGTCTGTGCCTGAATGGTCGGTGTGACTCAAATGGGAATTAAGTGTCACATTAGTGTTCTGTTTTTCCCCAAGGGTATATTTATAGTTATTCTCTTATTTTACCTCTAAAATTTTAGCAGGTTTTTTTTTTTTTTTTGACTGAATGTGGACAACAGAATGACCAGACTTTGTTTACTTCCCTGAAACCACTTAAGCTGTCCCTTGTTTGGAGTTTTAAGAGGTTTGATTTGCGCTACTCGGTTTAATCTTGGTATCGTCTTTTATGTAGAATGTAGTTATTCACTGTTAAATAGGCAAGTGCAGGAAATGTTGTTCTCTGAGGTGGATGTTGTAAGTCATATATTTGACCTGTGCAGAAATAAACCTTTTTTTCTATTTTTAATTGCTTTCTTGATTCATTTGACAAAAGGTTTTAAACATGTTTTTACAAAATATAAACACCACCTTTTGGGTTGTGGTATACCTGTGCTGTGAAACCAATTAGTGATTAAGCTATGAACAACTTTTATATTGTTAGTAACCTTTCAAGATGAATACTTACTGGACTGAAGCAATTTGATTATACATCTTTTCTTATGTATCAAACGTGATGATTCCGGCTTTTTCAAACTTTATTATTTAGATTTCTCAATCATCATTGTTTTGCATTGTATTTTATTCCCATCATTTTACTTTTTGGCTACATATAAAAAAACTTCCTCAAATTGCATATTTTTGCACAGTTTGGGCCATAAGTATGAGCTATATATATTTTCCTTTATCATACTATAGCGCTTAGCAGCCTTAAAAGCCTGATTTATAATATAAAAACATAGGGATACTATTTTTTTGGTCTAAAATGTCAATGAACACTAACTTGAAAAAAAAATCATGTTGGGCACATGGTCAATTATTGTGTAAGTGTGCCTCTGATGGAAAATATAGAGGAAAATATAGAGTTAGTTGAACTGAATGGTATGTGGACACCTCTTATCCCTCAACAGATATAAGATATTAACAGATTTGCAAAAAGTTATTAATTCTATGCCATACAATAACATTCTAGAGAATTCAACTTTGTGACAACACTTTGGGGAGGGCCCTTTTTCTATTCCAGCACAATGATCCTGTGCACAAATCAAAATCCATTTGACTGGTGTGAAGTTACTTGACTGGCCTGCACAAAACCTGAACACCAGGATGAATTGGAACGCTGACTGCGTCACCAAACGTCTGTGCCAGGCACTCTCCATTTTGTCAACTAGCATATAGCCTCAAAGCTGATGGGAACTAAAAGTCACAAAACATTTCATGGGTTTTGTTGTCTAAATAACTTGATATGATTTAAACTGCATTTATGGTCTATGGTTGTTTCAGGCATCTGAATGGGGACGGAACAGAAAAACAGAACAGAAGTATAATGCCAAAGTGGAAACCTTAAACTTGGAGTGTTAGAAACAAATGTATTTGTCACGAGTCATTGAGTCTGTGGTCATTGAATCAGTAGGAACATGCTTTTCCTGCATGGTAAAGTCACATGCATACACACACCCATCCCTATGGGAGCTGATATATAGTGGATGAGAGGAAACAGAGCATCTAGTGGAAGGATCACTCACACAAGGATACTTCAAGGACTAAGCCACACATTGTGAGTCTTATTTATCTACTCTAGATAATCATAATGTCCAAGTTTATATAACCATAGTGTTTTAATAACCACAAGCCTACTGTCTATTTCTCAGTTATAGTTTAGTCAGGCGACTTTTAGGATACAGTTCCCCTTTTTTCTGTTTGAATTATAGCATTTAAATGATAATAAAACGGTATTTCATATTTCACATCACTGGGAAATTGTATATATGTACATGTTTGCATGTCTGTGTATTCAGAATACTAGCATACTACAGATATGGTGAAAAAAAAAAATATATGAGTGTGTGCTGCTCTTAAAAAAAATGAAGGTATTTCATTGCCGTCTGTAGTTCTATTAAGAACCTTTAACATCCATGGAACCTTCCATTGCACAAGGGTCTTTAAATAGTAGATTTCAAATGTTCTTCACACTAAGAAAAATGGTTCTTTTAAGAACTGTTTTCTAAACTAAAGGTTCTTTGTGGAACTCAAAATTGCTTTGGTACATCATGGAAATTCTCAATACGAATACAACCTACCAAATCTGACTTCTTCACCATTGACAATTCAAACAACTTCCCTCTGTAAGTATAATAAAATAATATACTACAGTATCTTGAGGTAATTCCCTGAATTACAATACAATGCAATACTTCCCTGAAGTAAGTCGCTACAATAATCACACTAGAGCCGTCTTTTGTACTAGAATAGTACTTCTATTCCTCAGCAGCGCAAAATGTATTTGACACGACTCCCAAGTTTTGCAGAAATTAAGTTTTATTCCCAGCATCACTGGTCACAACAACCAAGTGAGTCTCCTGAATAGAAAGATGTACAATTAAATCATACAGTTGAGTAAAAAATCAATGTCACTCAAGTCTTCTTCTATGTGATTCATTCTGGTGATTGGTTTGTAATGATTTAAGCCTATCAAATGATTGTTGGTTCGTCTGGGTCTTTGACCTGATCATCCGTAATCTGCATTTTTATGAACATTCCATGTTGAAGATACCCTTTTGACCACTTCTTAGACCATTAACAAATATTTCTATCACGGGTACCTTTAATTTAAGAGTGTTGTAGCCTATGCTATTCAGCTTCAGGGTTATCACGATCCCAAAGTTGATTATCGGGTTAAATGAAAACAGCTGTATTTGAAATCAGGCGTGGCTTTTGGATGATCAGAATGCTATAAATATAGAGGTAATGCTGTAGAAAGGTAATGAGGTGTAGAGAGAGGACGCTCAAAGAGCAAAAGCTGCTGGTGTAGGTGGTTTCTTTCAACATGTGATTGCTTGAGTTTTGTGTTTGTGTGTGGGAATTGGGTAGTGAACTTTATGCTGTTTCCGTCTTTCCATACAGATGGCGTCACCACTAATGCTGGTGTTTTTAACTGCTCTCCCTGGGGTCCTCTGCTACAACTCATCATTTATTGACCTGGAACCTAAAGGAAGTGAGTATTTGTGTTAAAAGGTTGAAGTGTTTTGACCCGAACCTTGGTTATTAAGGGTTCTGGATATCTGTAATCTCTAGAATGTTTACATCCCTGCCTTTTTATTGCCTCAATCAGGTAACAAGTCATCCATCAGATTCCTAGTTTTGGGGGACTGGGGTGGACTGCCAAATCCTCCTTACGTTACCCCCATAGAGAAGGCCACTGCCCGCATGATGGCCAAAACTGCTTCCCAGATGGGTGCAGACTTCATTTTAGCTCTTGGCGACAACTTCTACTATAAGGGCGTCAGGGACGTCAACGACCCTAGATTCCAGGTTTGGCTTTTAGTGTTTAGAGTCTCTGAATTTTATGAATGTAGGGTTTTTGTGTGAATTGAAACATGTCTACTGTAAGTGGTTTAGTATTGGTGTGATCATTTTTAGTTGTGTGCTGGGATTAGAAAGTGCAAGAGTGAAGTCTAATGTAGGCCACCATCCCGTTATGCTTTTTGTAGGTCACGTTTGAAGACGTCTACACTCAGGATTCTCTTAATATTCCATGGTACGTCATTGCTGGCAATCACGACCATGCAGGAAACGTCCTTGCTCAGATTGAGTACAGCCAAAAGTCAAAGAGATGGTATGTGAGCTAACGCATCTAGGCCTCCATGTCTAATTGAGTTTGGTTTCCTGGCTCATAATCCAATTTGCTGTTCTACTGAATGCAGCTGTGCTTGGTGTTGGCTTGGCAAACACGCCGCTCTTGTCCAAATAGCCTGTTTTAACAGTCATTCTGTCTCACAGGAACTTCCCATACTACTACTATGAGATGAACTTCCGCATTCCTCAAACACACCGCACTTTGACCATCATCATGTTGGACACGGTGTTGTTGTGCGGCAACTCTGACGACTTCCTTGACCAGCAGCCCAGAGCTCCCCGAAGTGGTGTTCAGGCCAATAGGCAACTGCTGTGGCTTGAGGAACGCTTGGCAAAGTCGAAGGCTGATTATCTCCTGGTGGCAGGCCACTATCCCGTGTGGTCCATATCAGAGCATGGGCCAACCAACTGTCTACTAAAGAGCTTGAGACCACTGCTTAAGAAGTACAAGGCCACCGCTTACCTGTGTGGCCATGATCACAATCTACAAGTAGGTATACAAGAAACCTTTGATCAGTTTAGTTTTTCAAGATGTCTGACTTGTGCCTCTACTTTGCCTTTTCAGTACATCAAGGAGTCTGGTATCGGTTATGTGGTTAGCGGAGCTGGTAACTTCATGGATCCTGATGTGCGTCACCGCAACCAGGTTCCTCGAGGCTACCTCAAGTTCTTCAATGGTGACGCTGGCACCTTGGGTGGCTTTGCCCACATGGAGGTCAACAAGAAACAGCTGACTGTTACTTTTATCCAGGCTAGAGGAACCTCTCTTTACAGGGCTGTTCTCAAAAGGCGTGATGAGACTTCCATAGAGGATGATTAAGGTTGAAATTTCTTAAAGCGTTTTAATGTGACTTTGGGATATTGACCCAGGTCTTTTAGCATAATGTTATAAATTAGAGAAGCACTTCTGATTAAAAGTGCATTTTTGAATCAAGTATTTTAAGTTTTAAATGTTTGTTTTGAAGACCTGTAAGTGTTTTAAAGTGATTATTAAAACTCATTTAAACTACTTTTTTGGTCCCTTAAGTCTAGTAACTCTATGGATCATGTTGACACTAATCGGTGTTCATACCAAGTTTTACTCTGTGGCTATTTGAGTATGCTAGCCATTGTGTATTTGTTATATGGTGTTTATAACTTTGCTTTTATGGTAGTGGTACTTTCTAATCCCAAACACTTGTTTGTGAAACCTAATTATACATGGCTTATATTATAGCTTGTTGCAAGGGCTTTTTCTCTCTCCTTTTTATCTTTGTTGGCTCTTTTAATGTAAACTTGAATAGCTTTGTGGGAGAAAAAGGATCAGATAGTTGGGCACCTGCCAGTGGCGGAGCCAGAGGGGGGTCCGGGGTGGCACTGGACACCCCTGACATGCGATTGGCCACCCCGGGTGCCACCCCAAAATTGTATTGGCAGTTGCTAATCATACACTTATACACTAGACCTCACCTTGAATACGGCAGTTCATTAGAACGAATGCGTCAATAGAGCCGCCATCTTGAAACAGGGGAGCCCCTCCACTTTAATGCATCAGCGTCATTGTAGTAGACACAGGTCTAACGCAAATAAAATCACCATAAATCATCATGAATGCGTTTTTTTTTTTGTTCCAACGGTCAGACATGTATTTATCATTGATTCCAGAAAGAAAAAAAAATTATTATTTTTTTTTTTAACATTCTTCCTAGTTCAGATTTCATCCGTGAACTTCATACGCTGCACAAAAGTCTGCCACCATCAATGAATTCGAAGTAAGGCAGAGATATCAGCGTTACCTAGCTACTTCCTATGACAAGACCCCTGTTCCAAGATGGCGGCGGTTTTGACGCATGCTTAGAACCCCCAGGTGAGGTCTAGTGTTGCTAATGCTGATTTAAAAAAAAAAAAAAAAAAACGTTCGTCAGCACGCGGCAGCCGCATTTTTCAAACAGACGAGTAGCAGAGGACAGGACGAGAGATGGTTGTCTTCATCTTCACAGAAGAAACATCATATTTGAAATAAGTTTTAGCATCAGGGTTGTTTACTCCGAATACATTAATACACGCATACAGTAGGCTACCATGCCGTGTACTGTTTTTTGATCATCATTCTGGGTGCGTTTCCCGAAAGCATCGTTGGCAACTATGCAAAACTATGCAACTATGGTCGCAAGTCGGTCGTTATCAGCATAGTTCAATGACAACGATATTTTTGTTAGCAAACTAAAAGTGTTCGTAGAATTTGTATAATTGTTCTTTTTACCTGGGTGTAAAGGCAGCTGGAAAATGAATTAAACGTGTAGAATACTTTCCAAGCCATTACGTTATTGAGTATTATAAATTCAGACGTTTATACATAAAAACAAAAAATAAGATTAACTTATCTTTTAAAATCGGAGTAGTTTTTTAAAAAATAAAACAAGTTTATCTTTTAAAATCGTCCGTTTTTCCTGTGCGTGAGACTGGAAAACCCGTAGTAGTGGATGGGGGCGGAGTGATAACGGAACGCTTAGAGTGCAGAGAGAAACGGGCTTTGGCTCCAGTCCTGGCTTTGCGTCCGCGCCGTTAGGATTACGTTCAAAAGGTCACGGGCGACGTAGCCAGATGTACAGAGTCAGAGTGTTTACAAGTTGAACGCATAGGTTGAACGTGAAAACTAACTCAAACGCCGTTTACAAAAAAGGAATTAAACGGTAAACAACGATGTCGGACGATTTTGATTCTGTACTTCCGGCTACGTCGCCCGTGACCTTTTGAACGTAATTACGTATTACGTGACGTTAAAAACGCGCCTCACAGAATAGAGCTAGGCTAGCATTTGTCCTTAGAAAAGTTACATTTTTGGAATAAGCTTTGAAATAACCGATCGTTTCGCATGTTAAGACCCTTATTCATCGTCTGATATCGTTTAAAGACATTTGAAGCTGCATCTGAAACAGTTTTTAACTGTCTTTTGGAGCTGAACCATCCGGTTCCCATTGAAGTCCATTATATGGAGAAAAATCCTGGAATGTTTTCATCAAAAACCTAAATTTCTTTTCGACTGAGGAAAGAAAGACATGGACATCTTGGATGACATGGGGGTGAGTAAATTATCAGCAAAAGTTTTTTCAAAAGTGAACTAATCCTTTAACATCTGTCTCGTAGGCTATGCACGTTCTCTCTAGATTAGAGGATATTTTAACTAATTTGCGGTAAAACTAGTCGATCACGAGTGGCTCAACGGGTGGAACTATAGATAAACTCATCTTTTCAGGTATTTTAGTGACCGGCTTGACACTTTAGCATGAGAAATCGGGGGTGTAGCGTGAGAATTTTCTCACACTCAATGCGTGAGAGTTGGCAGCCCTGCACACTGCCCTACAAAGGCAAAGCGCAGTAACTAAAATTACATAGATATTTGATCAAAAATGAGTTAAGACTTGTAATGGGCTTTATGACATGTCTGTCTTGTGAAAAAATATCTGGGTTAAATTATGTCCTGTTTCGGAGATGCATTACCACATAATCTACCCATAACATGTTTGACTGGCTGGTATAAAAACTTTAAAGGCCTTTTCCTCCGTTTCTTTGTTTGCGTAACGTTAGTTACTGCACTTTGCCTTTGTAGGGCAGCATAAGTTAGTTGTACGGGAAACCCACACCAGAATCGAATCTAGATGTAGTCTTTGATGAATGCAATTTTCTCAGCTTTTTGCTCATGTTGCTTTTTATGAAACTTACCAACATTCGAGTGTTTATAAAAAAAAGATGCATAAAGCTAGGCCTATAATAGAACCGTTTTTTTAAAGCACGTGATCTGTTCTTTCTTTTGACATGTTCAGATATTGTGAAAATGACCAAAAACGCTAATGGTGGCTGATTTTTATTTTTAATGTTGGTTATTTGGATGATTATTATTAGAAATGAATATGATTGGAATCATATTTTCAATTTTTCATATTTTGAACAGGGTCAATTAAACATGAAAAGAAGGGGACAGATATCCGAGTTCTTTTTAAAGAAGCACAAACAGACAGATCAGGTGCAATTGCAAACAGACCCCAGCCCTTGCATCACTGGAACCTGGAGCAGCTCCCTACCTGTGGCTAGTCAGAGTCAGGGTGGTCAGACTTCAGGAACAGGTGCTCTGAATTGCAGTTGCAGGTGCTCTGACCAGCAACAGGTCAGAGCATCTAGACACAGGCAGTCACATCCCGAATTCAGGAATTTCAGTTGATATGATTTTGTCAGATTAAAAGTATAGTTCACCCAAAAATGAACAAAAAAAAGAGATATTTTAAAGCATGTTGGTAACCAAATAATTTTATAAATAAAATAACCTGACACATGCTACTGTATCTTATCTCCTTGGTGCTTCAGCTTTGTTTTCTGCTAATATTTTGGATGTTCAACAACACTTATTACAAACAGAGTGACCCAATTACTTCCAGTGTGTGTGTGTGTGTGTGTGTACCCCCCAAAATAGCAGTGGCCACCCCATGTATAAAACTCTAGTTCCGCCACTGGCACCTGCTAACCGTACCTGATTTGCGTCTATTTGGAACAGATCAGAATCCAACGCTTGCAGCAAGGTGAACCTGAAAGATTCATAGCTGATAATCTGGGGAAAATCCCTTTTCATTAATCTAAACTAGCATATGCTGCTTCTTTTCACCTTCAAGCCACTAATCTAAAATAATCCTCAAGAGATCTTTTTTTTTTCTAATATAAAAATGAATTGTTATGAATTGTTTTTTTGTTTTTTTTTTGCAAGGAAATCTATAGTTTGGCTCTAAATGTTTATCATTTGTTTAGGGAGATGTGTTTAAAGAATAGTGTGTTTTTTAAGCTTCATGATTTAATCTGAATCAGCCTTCACAATATCCTGGCAATCAGGATGCCAGCCCTAATCCTTTCTGCACATGCTGACTGTCCTCAATTCAACCTGGTAAAAGTTTATTCCTAAAACCCTGATTTCACAGTTCAAAAAGTCCTTTACAATGTGTGGCCCCTTTTAATTTACTTTAAGCATTATGTAAAGGACACCATTTTTTGGGGCCTGCCTATACCCAGGCCTCAAAAAAGAAGACATTTGTTAAACTAAACATTCATAATGCTTATTTTCCATAAATTACTTTTTACAGTTCTTATTTATAGCTTTTTGTCGCAATAAGGGTCTGAATTTTGTGGAGGTTGACCAGTTGCAGACTGATCTCATGAAGTAGCGTGTGCCAGGTCAGTTTGCAATTTTAAGTGGCTCTTTAGTATTAGTGTAATGCTAAGCCTTCTCTAACCACCTGCAGGCTAATTTGCTGCCTGTAACATTGAAGCATGAACTGAACTACTACCGGTAACTAATAGGTTTAATTGTCCTTAACCATATTGCGTTAGAATTATCCCCAACCCCCATTTGTTACATTTGGTCCCTATATTTCACTACAGAGAAAGGGTTTTTGCTGAGACCATTTGTTTGAATCCTTGATAAATTTCAAATTGATTAACAACAGGAAAATAAAATAGAATTATATTCTGAATGAGATCAAGTATATGAGCATATCCATAAGTTTGATAAATGCAGTTATAAAAGCAGTTATTTAAACAGGTGAGGTCACCAGCACTCAAATGTCATTTAAGTCCAAAGATTGACAAGTACAGAGTGAATACAGAAAACATTTGTAAATATGTATAAAATAACTCTAATTCTATAAGAGAGGAAACCATGACAGACTGGATTTTTTGGATTTCTTTTTTTTAATCCAACACTATATATAGATATGTATAAAATGTGAGAGGGTGTGATTTTCTAAATCTGTCACTGTTTCCTGCTCCGGTTTAACTCACAGGGCAAAAAAGGGGAGCGTAATCTGATAACATCCTTACTAAACTCTTTAACTCTTTCTCTTGACCAGCTAGTCAGTTAAGCTGATCCTCAAATGGTGCCAAAGCTTAGCATTACATTACATTAAACATGACTGAAATAGGAGCGACACATGCATAGAAAAGAGTGTGTTATGTAACACACACCAGGGTTCAGAAGTAATGTTTTGCT